GAGGTGATGTCGCGCGCATACGAGACAAGACTCTAAAATGGCGGGAACCAACCACCGACTCTAATGGCGGGAAAGCGACCTCCGGCTGAGGACGACAACGTCGACAATGGCGGGAAACAACCACCGACTCTAAGGGCGGGAAAGCGACCTCTGGCTGAGGACGACGACGACGGCGAGGTAGAGGAGGAGGAGGAGGAGGAGGAGGAAGAAGAAGAAACGCACCCTCTACACAGAATGGTGCTAAAGCGGAAGAATGGCAGCGAAGCACGCGGAAGAGGAAGAAGCTTCCACTTGCCCCAAATTCTGTCCGTGATTCTGCACAACACAATGATACTTGGCACCCCTTACAGTACTCGACATTCTACATGTATCTGGACACCAGCACCGACCGCATTCGACCGAATTCATTCCACCTAATCCGACATGTTCTATGTATCGGGACCAACAGGAGGTCCACATACGTTTACGAAGTTGTCCGGAGAAGCTAGGTCCTTTGTAATTAATGTGCCCCAGGGGCCAAGTCCCATTAGCCGCGTTGAGCTACCTCAACTCCTGAATCTGGACGCTTTTGCGGAGATTTGCAGATATGGTGTTCAGTTTGCTGAACTGCACGTCTCCGCAAACACGTCCAGATTCAGGCGTTGAGGTAGCTCAACGCTGCTACCGGTAGTGGGACTTGGCCCCAGGGGAGAGCTTCCATGCCAGCAAGTTGCGACCCCCGCCGCGATCTCCTACAACCGCAGAGAAATGGCGGGAATTGGTACTTTTTTTTTTTTTTTTTTTTTTAATTGGAACTTCCGAGAGACGGGAAATTCCAATAATAGGCGGGAATTTCTGAGAGGTGCGGAAGCGAGCCATTCCCCCCGCTTCCCCACTTCGCTGCGGGATTTCTCTTTTTGGGCTTTTTTTTGGGTGGGGGTGTGCGTGGGGGGGGGGGCAAGGTTTTTGGTCATCATGGCCAAATGGACTCCGCCTTTTTTTTTCTTTTTTTTTTTTCGGGCACTGTCGTCAAGGAACAGTCCCTGACCTCTGACTGACAATGGAAATTCGAACGAAATTCTCCAAAGGCAGGTGGGGCACTTTCGAATTTTTCCCGTGTCCTGCAGGCGGGAGGCAACGAATGGGGGAGGGTGGCTGTCGAGCATACCATTCTGACACTGTTGAAATTTTTTTGACCCGCAATTCTTCCAAAGTCTGTGTGGCGGATGATTTAGCCGTTGCTTGTCAAAACAACAGAGGAAAAGACTGCAACTGGTTAACTGTACATTATTCCGCGAGTGATGAGTTAACCCGGCCGGCATACCCATAACTGTCTGATTTATTTAAAAAAAAAAGAGCCTTAAGAACAGTTCTACACACCTATTGTGAATTATCAGAGGCCTCTATTAATTGGAATAAGTCAAGTGAACCTACTTTTTGCCACCTTCCTATGACCTGAAAGTCAACTGGGGATTGAAAATTGTGGCTTGGGATGCATCAGAAGGTTTTCCGGGAATACAAGTGTCTTTGTCTGACAACTCAGAGTTTCACCATGCCATGTTGGTGGATAAGTATTGCAACCGAATAACAAGTTGGAAGCAGACACGACACCTGTCTCCACTGGGTCGGGCTTTGGTCCTATCAACTGCAGCTGGATGGGTATTGTGGTTCACACTAGCAGTTCATCTCCATGGTGACAAGGCATAGGGACAAATCAAGAGGGCGGCTGGGCGCTTTGTTTGGAAGCCAGAAGCACAGGAACAGGAAGGGTATATGCCCAAGGTAGCCTGGGAAACAATAACCTTTTCTAGACATCAGGGAGGAGTAGGTATACTGGATCCCAAACAACAAAATTTAGCCTTATTGGCAAAATGGCCAATAAAAGTCCTGACTGCAGCCACTGATGAGTTCTGGTTGTCCCTAGGTCCACAGATCTTGGCCCAGCTGTCCAGTCCGAGCCTCGGCCGACCGGTATGCCAAGCCTTGCCGCTGTCTCTTATACACATCTAGATGTGTATAAGAGACAGCTCTCTCTCTCTCTCTCTCTCTCTCTCTCTCAGCTACATCTGCCAAATTCCAAGTGACTTCGAAGCTACGTCTTCGAGCTGCGTGCGTGATCCACGCAGCTCGAAGACGAGTCCTTACAAGTGACTCGCCGACGAAGCCAACCGACTACCAAGCAGAACCACCCACCTCTCCCATCTCCAGCTTAGCACCGCCATATCCGCCCTCTCCTTTCTACAGCCAAACACTGGCATTCCTCCCCCCACGACTCCTGGAGTACTTTCGTGGGACCACCACATCTTCTGAACCCCACCCGTGCGGCGCCAACCACGGGATGTACCGGTCCTACGCTCAATGGGATGTACCGGTCCTACGCTCGAAGGTGATCCCCTCAAGTGCCGCGCCAACAACACCAAAACCTACTACCACGCAGAACCACCCACCTCTCCCTTCTCATGCTAAGCACCGCCATATCCGGCCTATCCCATGACGGGTCATTTCACAGGACTCCACACCTTCTCCGTCATCAGTGCCACTTTGCTCCCGGTTCCGGCGTCTCCAACACCAACACCACAGCCAGTCCCTTGCCGCTCGACCTCGCCGTCCTGAAGTTTTCTATCCCTTGGCGCTCGATCTCGTGGTCCTGCATGGTCAATCTCGAAACCGCAAGTACATCGCCCAGGGCATCCTATAAGTCTTGCGGCATCCTACAAGTCTTGCGGCATCCTATAAGGCTTGCAGGCAGGTCTTAGAGGATCGAAATCAAGCCAATCCGAAAAATACTGGAGCCTCGGGGCTACCAGACCACGATGAATGGCGGCAATGGAACTGGTGCCCTCCCACAATATAAGGAGGGCGGCTTTGTTGAAAAAAAAGAAGAAACAAAAGAAAGAAAGAAAGAAAGAAAGAAAGAAAGAAAGAAAGAAGGAGAGAAAACAAGTGCACCGCTGGCGGTTCAGCAAAGCGTGGCGCGCAGTGCGAATCCACCATGGCAAGAAAAAGAAAAAAAAAAAGCGGCTCGGATGTACCGGTCCTTAACCGCAAGTACAGTTCGCTCGTGTTCTAATGAATCGCAATCTATGAACCAAATCACGCGTACGTTCAATGGGAGAAATGACTGTATCTCAACTTCTCAAGTGATTCAAAGGGCATTATACACGCCTGTGCCACTGGCGGGCGGACCCACCGGCCACGATCCCACTACCAGAGATGGAGATCAGGACCAGAAAACCGAACCCTCCCACAATTAACCTGGGTAGGCCCCCAAAAAAAAAGGGCACTGCTCCAGGGCACCCATCACGCCTGCTTGCCCTGGAGTTGGACAAAAACCTCAGCCTCCTCGCTCCGATACCCTACGGGCGCGATCACGACCAAAAAAACTGACCCCTCCCACTCTTGACCTGGGTCTATATTCCCTACGCTTCCCATCAGTAGGCCCCCTCTCAATTATACCCCTCGTTGGAGTGCCCTCTCAATTATACCCCTCTCAAGAAAAGCCAACAGTTACAGGGCACCCATTCCACCTGGGTGCCCTGGAGTTGGACAAAAACTTTGGCCTCCTCGCTTTGAAACCCTACCCGTCGCAAGACCAAACAGACCTACGAAGCCCCACGCTATGGAGCACGGCACTATTTTTAGGCACATCTCGAGGGTGCTGATGCTAACAGCAGCTCTTGGGGTTGAATCATTTCCATGTTGGAACCCCTCTCAATTTTACTTGCCATCGTTGGACCCCCTCTCGATTATACCCCTCGAGATGGCAAGTCTCAATTATACCCCTCGAGATGGCAAGTATAATTGAGAGGGTTGAATCAATTTCAAGATTAGTCGGACACCCTCTTATCGTGCCATTGGTTGGAAATTGAAATCGATTCGACCCCAAGATTAGTTGGAAGTTGGAACCCCTCTCAATTATACTTGCCATCGATTCAATTTCATGTTGGGCCATGCTAATCTTCTCTGCACCGTTCCAATCCTAACGGATGTGCCGAAGGACGCTGAAATGTATCTCTTGATATCAGTGTGAAAAAAAGAGAAAAGAAAGAATATAAAAGGGACAGCGTGCAGCTTGCATGAATCTCCTGATTTCAGTGTTAAAAAAGGAGACGAGAAAGGAATATAAAAGGGACAGCGCGCAGCTTGCAAAACTGTGTCTCAAAAAAAAAAAACTGTCCCACATTAAGGTGCACAAGCAGGGCACCATCACTCCTGTGTGTATGAAGTAAGTGAGCGCACGATCTAAGCGCGTAGTCACATGGGGACTTTTTTGACATACCTCTGGACATGATTACGGCCAGATGCATCCAGTTCTGGCCGTAATTTGCTACCGGATAGATTCAGGAATGTGCCTAACGGTGAAGCGGGCAAACAAGGGAAAAGACTCGAACAACACTCCACAGAGGAGAATGAGCTCACACCAGCTCTTTCTTTTTTTTTTCTTCTTCCACCGGGGAATCTCACAATTGCGTTGAAAGACGTGGATGGATAGTGATCGTCCTGTCGGGCCTCCTCCTCGACAGATTTCAGCGGAGTTATAAAGAGAGCAGGCAGAAGGACAGAGATTAAAGGGGTCCCCATGTAAGGGGGCGCCCATTAAACCGGTGCTTGAAAGACATCGATGGAAAGAGATTGCGCTGTCGGGCCTCTACGAGACTTCGACAGATTTCAGGACAGCTAGACCAAAGGCGGGCATAAGGACACGTTGCGGATGGAGCTCCTCAAAAGAAGCGGGAGGCACCCTTGCGCCTGTGCGCCCAAAGACAATAAGCGCACAAACTAAAGCTGATGTGGGCAAACAAGGGAAAAGACTGAAAAAAGAATGAGGTCGCCGCCGGTTCTATTTTGCCCAGGGAACCTCACAATTGCATTGAAAAACATGGATAGAGATTGCCGTGTCAAAAGACCTCAGGGGAGAGAGACAAAGGGCAGGCAGAAAGGACACAATGCGTGGACGGATCTCCACAAAAGAGAGGGACGTAGGCACAAAAACCCTGAAAAAAAAGTAAGCAAATGGAATGCGCAAAATGGCACCAAGAACGGTATGAGCGAGTGAAGACTGAAGAGTATGTCCCCAAGGGGCTGGAGAGAGAGAGAGAGAGAGAGAGAGAGAGAGAGAGAGAGAGAGAGAGAGAGAGAGAGAGAGAGAGAGAGATGGAGAGAGAGAGAGAGACCCTGCAGCATGTCTGTTGTGTGAAAAAAGGAAACACATTTGGGTATAAGATCCAGAGGACAGAGGGCGGTGTTTGTGTGTGTGTTGTGTCTGTGTATGTGTTTGAGCAAGAGAGAGAGAGCAGTGAAGAATATTATGGGTGAGCCCATAGCAATAAAAACGATTGGAACTGACATATGGAAGACTTATCTTCTATGCTAATCCCATAGTCCTAGCTGCTGGCCCTTTTCCAGGAGCAGCGGCACGGTGTCCGGTGCGAACTTGTGTGCAAAGAGGTAGCACTCCTTCTCCTGGCCATTCCAAAGACAACTTCTCTGCTCGCGGATAGACTCCAAGAGTGTGCTATTTGCCCTCAACTTCTCCGCGTTCCACGCGACAGGATGCAGATCCCAGGGGCTGTCTCGGTGCGTCCACATTATCGACCGCCTGTTCAGCTCGTTCTTTGCAAGGCTATCGATTACTGTTTGGATGTAGTGCTCGTCCGGGTGACAGGCGACATGCGGTTTTTCTCTACACCACTGCGAGAATAATCCCACAGTGCACAGAGCATCTTTGTCTTCTTGAATTCCGACACAGTTCCGTGCAAACGCCGGATAGAAAGTCCGGTCCTTCACGATGAGCGTTGCGTGTTTCCTCGTCAACGCGACCCACTGCGATCCAAACTCAAACTCCCTCCGACGGACAATCGATCTCAACTTGCCGTCATGTTGCTGTTTTGCCACTGCTGAGGCCTCCACAAAACTGTCACCTGTATCCATAAGGTAATGGTACATAGCGCGGAAGTCGGTGACGGGAACGCTGGAGCCGGAGAGAATAATGAAGCGCTGGTTCAACGGATTCATTATCGCGTTCGCCAGCAGCCGTCGCTGAGCATCCACTAAGTCCATCCTCCCCCAGTCGACGTTCTCACTCTTTATCTGTCTTCCGGCAAATGGGCCGGACACGTTATCGATAAGCTCGAAGCGCGGCATCTGGTGCACATAAAGCGAGTAGAAGTCCTCGTACCCACGGAGATAGTTTTCCCACACTGGCGCTAAGCGGAAGGGTCCGTCCGTAAGAAACAGCAATGCCACCCTGCGCATGTAGTTCGTCTTCTTCACTGCCAGCTCCAGCAGCTCAATGTCGTCCTGACCGAGGTTGAAGTACATCTCCTGCTTTCTGGCATTCGTCGTTAACGCCAGCTTTTTAACTTCGGAAACCAAGTTCGCCAACTGAGAATCGCCTTTCCTGTCCCCGTCTGCGCCTGCATGCTCTGCGCTGGCAGCAGACGGGACTACCTTGTCCGACTCCTTTTCACCCGACTTTTTGTTGCCCTTACCGCCGGAATCCCCCGCATCATTCGCCACGAGATCCTGGTCGACTTCCATGCCGAGGGCCTCCTTCGATCTAACTTTCTGCCACAGAGGCGGGCGTCCACCGCCTTCTCCTCTTCCAGATGCAGGTGTCCGACGACCGTCGTCATCTGCAAGTCCTCTTCCCGCCTCGACGCATGGCGGCCCGGCTGCGCTCATGCACCGCTGAACGCACTTAGACACACCCTTCCCGACCAAACTCTTCATTGTCATGGTGATCACCTCCAAGGAGATGTCTTCCGCGTACAATGCAAATGCACGGAAAGAGTCCTCCGACCTGCGTCCATCATCGTGGAGAGCGCCCTCTTTTCTCCCAGGAAAGGAGAGCGACACAGAGACGAAGCAAAAGACGAATGCCAGAAGAACGGTCATCAACAGCGCAAACTTCAGCAGTCTGCTTCGCATCGCCGACGGCGTCGGCTTGACGATTTGCTCGGGCAACACTCTGCCACCATTCACCATAGAATAACCCATTTTCAACCACCTCGCGAATCCAGAGGCAGGCTTGTGTAGCTGCTGGTCCCGAGAGAGCCCTCACGCGTACTTGTTTACCCGCCGACCCTCAAACGTACTTGCTTAACAGGCAACACTACCGCGAGCGATGCGGGCGATGACGTCAGTATCACAATGGGCTGTCCGAAAACATCCAAATCAACTCAACCTACTACAGCAGACCAGAAAGGTAGAGGAGCAGCAGCAGTGAAACAGACACAGACACAGGTAGATTGTGGTCAGCATTACACTGCTGTCTGTGCTATTTGGGAGGAAACATGCTTGGTGCGCGCAGCAAGGAGTAGGAGTGGTTCGTTTACTTCTGCTTCTGGACGCTTTTATCAAACGAACTGTAGCATTAAGCTGCCACTGGTAGACCTGTGAACTCACAGGTGTAGGTGGACAGAATGTAGCATTAAGCTGCCACTGGTAGACCTGTGAACTCACAGGTGTAGGTGGACAGAATGTAGCATCAACCTCCCACTGGTAGACCAGTGAACTCACAGGTGTAGGTGGACAGTACTTACCCCATGTGCTGATCAGAGTGCTAGTCCATTTGTAGAGAGGGCTTAAAGAGTAGAGTGCACACTCGCCCATCGCCACAGACGAAACCAGAGAATTACACAGGATGAATGTGGTGCATGAAGGTGGCATAATTCACATTGCTTAACTTGATGAAGGAGCAAACACAGGAAAATTGGAGTAAGAGAAGAATCAGATTAAATGTGCCGCCTTCATGCCGATTAGCAGACAGCAGACAGCAGCAGCAGCAGCAGCAGCAGCAGCAGTCAGTTCTCACAGCCACCTTTGACTTCATCTCTGCCAGCGTGAATGCGACAATACCTTCCCCCCTACCATTCTTCACCGCATAAGCTTAAGCTTAAGAGTACCCCTGCACAATCCTCGTACTTCCGACCAGATTCCTCCTCCGGGATAATGCTGTCTCCACATTTTTCACAGATCTGAAGATCGCAGAAAATAGCTTAAGAGCACCCCTGCACAATCCTCGTACTTCCGACCAGATTCGTCCAGAATAATGCCCGTCCGAGTACGGCCTGATTGTCCCTCCACCTGTGCGCTCAGGGTCCTGTGCAAGTTGTGGAGCCGGCGGAACGATGAAACGGGAGTCGACCAAGTACAACTCATCAGGAAAAATCAATATGGTGAGGGGGGCAGGGGAGGGGAGGGGTCAAGGGGGCAGGAGGGGGGGAAGCATTGTTTACTTAACTTTTTTCCTTTTAAGACCATAGGGGCCTGACCATTGAGGACAGTCACACCAGAACCTTCTCCACTGAATTTGGTCATAATTACTGCCGAATACATGCAGGAAAATGCAAGTGTGATTCTGCTCTCAGAAATGATGGAAGCCTGCAGAGGTGTTGCCTCTGTGTATGGTCTCCAAACAATTAAATATATATACATGAGGGTTCAGCCTCCTGACGAGTCCGTGAAACTCTGACAAAACAGTTTGCCACAGCCCCTCCCTCGTTTGTTGTCCTCTACTCCCTCAACGCTGAGCTTTCTATCACGTGTGGCATGGTGGGACGGAGCTCTGCGGTTGATGTATTGTGAATCTAACGGTACCAAAATACAGGAGAATAACCTATATTAGATTTAGTCATTTTGTAGAATTTTTTTTTGACGTGAAATCCGTTTTGTAGTATGCGTTGGCCCTTTTGGTTTGGGCGGGAAGCCATTTTCCGTTGAGAAAACGACCCTACCGAGGGTAGGGTACATTTCTCAACTTCAGTGCCTTTCCTTTTTTTTGTTTTTGTAGACCTCATTGCATCCTGAAACGGAGGAACTCTGACAGCTGTGTTCGGCTGTCTGGCATCAAACTCGTTTCCTTCTTTGGGCAACGAATGCATTTGGCCATCCACGTCGTCCCTGTGCATTTTACAAATGGTGACCTCCTGTCCCCTCACCACGGGGAGTATCCCTTTTTCACGGGCGTGGTCCCACTAGCGAAGGGGATAGGATAGAAATCGTGAATCTGGCAATGTTTTATGCAGAGATACAGAAAAGCAGTTCTATCTCGATTTCCTGCTCCTGTCCTCAAACACGTCCAGATTCAGGCATTCAATCCCATGCTCTTTGCTAATGGGACCACGGCCACCGAGACGTTCACGCCGACGGTTCCAGACATGTTTCATTTCTCCGAGTTGGGTTATAAAAATAAGGAGTAAAGCTGTTTCTAGTTTTTTTTTTCAGTTTTTTTATTTCTTGTTTCGAATTTATTAATGTCGAAATGGCATCACACCGTTAAGCTTTCTAAACTGAACAACGGTAGGTGGGACCAGACCCCAGGCAAGTGGGTGGTCCCGGGCCACTCTGGTAGCCTAGCTTTTTTTTTTTTTTTTTTCCTAGGGCTACCAGAGTGGCCCGGGGCCACTCGCCCGGCCGGGGCAAAGAAAAAACAAAAACAAATGAACTTTATTTTTTATTTCAAATATGGTGAAGAATTTCGATGTGACCCTGAGGCAAAAGTTGTTCAGTTTATTTTTCTGCATAACATAGTTTTTTTTCGGTTTTCTTTTTTTGATTTTTTTTTGCTAGGACCTTCCCTGGTCCTTGCACGGCCGGGCCGTCCGGGAAAATAGGGTGACCCGGGCGGCCCGGCTGGTAGCCTAAATTTCTTTTCCTTTTTTTTTTGGCTCTAGGTCCACCTTATGCTCTCATTTTTTCATTTTCATTTAGCACACAAAACCAAAAAAAGAAAAAAACCAAAAAAACAAAACAAAACAAAAAAAGAACTAATGCCACCTTCTGTGGAAAGGTGCATACTTCTATTTATTTTTTTTTCTTCCCCTTTCGTGTGGTCTCATTTTTTTTCATTTTCATCGAAATATTCGAGGGCTTCGCCGCACGGCGCACAAAACGAAAAAAAAAACAAAACGAGTGCATCTTCCCGCGAAAGACGGCAAGATGCGTCCGTTACTATGAACAGAAACAAGTGTGCCTTGCCCCCTTCGCTGCAAAGGTGCATACTTTTTTCCCCCACTTTCGTGTGCTCTCATTTTTTCATTTTCATCTCAGATTGAGGGCTTCGCCGCACGACACAAAATAAAAAATAGTAGGGGGGAAAAAAGAAAAAAGCTAGTGCATCTTCCCCCAAAAGACGGCGGGATATATCCGTTGCCATGAACAGAAACAAATGTATCTTGCCACCATTGGTGGAAAGGTGCATACTTTTTTCTTTTTTTGGCCTTCGGTGTGCCGTGCAACAAGGCCCTGAGTTTGGTGCGCACTTCAGGTGCGTTAGGTCAATATTGAATTCACCTAAATAGGAAAATATTATATACCTAAATAGGAATATATATATCGTCAAATAGAACTGCCCGGTAAACCGTAGGCAGAGAGGGAGAAGAGGACAACAAACGAGGGGCTGTATATATACCATTCTGACACTGAGCTGGAGTTGACACCCGATTAAAAAAAAAACTCACATACTAGGCTACTAGAGTTTTTTTATTTTATTTTTTATTCTAAATTTGGTGAAGAATTTCGATGTGACCCTGAGGCAAACGTTGTTCAGTTTATGTTTCTGCATAACATAGTTTTTTTTCGGATTTTTTTGGATTTTTTTGGATTTTTTTTTTAATGCTGGGACCTTCCCTGGTCCTTGCACGGGCTGGCCACCCGGGACCCAGGCGGCCCGGCTGGTAGCCTAGGACACATACCATTTTTGCAGGTATATACTGTAATTGATGAGAATAGCAATTTCACACTGGACTACCAATGTACAAAAAAAAAAAGAAGAAAAGACATCTGACCACACCCGTACACACACATAACCGTGTTAACCATGGCGCAAGTAGGTGAAACAAATCTGGAAATTTAATGAAACAAAACAGACAGATCGTCACAGCTCAAAGACCATAGCGTGGGCTATGGCGTCTCACCTCCCTCCTCCCTCCTCATCGGAGGACCAAGTGCACCAGAGAAGACGAAGATGCCTGGCTATCCCCTACTACCGTCTTCACCCGAATAGAACGCCCGGTCATTAACGCTGCATCTGGACCGCAAGCCGTGCCAAATACAGCTATAATGACCGGGCGTTCTATTCCGGTGAACACGGTAGTTTCAGCCGCTGCCAATAAGTGACCTCATCAGGGGAAAATTTTCGAGATGAACAGCACCGAAACACTATTCTACTTGAATCCTACGATCCGTCCAGATGAGTAGCACACCTAAACACTACTTTACTTACTATATCCTACGATCCGTCGAGATGAGTAGAGCACCTAATCAATCTACGATCCGTCGAGATGAGTAGAGCACCTAATCAATCTACGATCCGTCGAGAGCACCNGATGAGTAGAGCACCTAATCAATCTACGATCCGTCGAGATGAGTAGAGCACCTAATCAATCTACGATCCGTCGAGATGAGTAGAGCACCTAATCACTAATCTACTGATATGCTACGATCCGTGGCCGACAAACACTTTTGCGTCTGGAATTGTACTTGACCTGGACATTGCCGCTTCAGGCGGCACTTTTTTTTTTTTTTTTTTAATCAGGCAGCAATTTTCCGTGATACGCGGTAATTCCCTTGCTGGATAATTGTCAGCATGGGCAAATACGGTAGGTTCATAAAAAACATACTAAAAAAAAAAAAAAACATATATATATATCGTCAAATAGACCGTAGGCAGAGAGGGAGAAGAGGACAACAAACGAGGGGCTCGTCACATATATGGTCACAAACAGAACTGCTCGGTAAACCGTAGGCAGAGAGAGAGAAGAGGACAACAAACGAGGGGCTGTGACAAACTGTTTCGTCGGAGTTTCACCGACTCATCAGGAGGCTGAACCCTCAACAGTCTGCAGAATCCCCTCACTGATTACACAGTAAATGATAATCTACCTTAACCAAAATCAAAGTAGACTATCACTCACCCACACCAGATGGAAAACTCTACAGACTGTCGGTTCACACCCCATCACAAGCCAGCAAAACATCCACGAAACAAAGAAAAGTCTGTCATAGCCAAAAAATACACTCCAGACACATATATATCGTCACAAACAGAACATATATATATATCGTCAATATATATATATATATTGTCACATTGTGAATCAGAGCTCAAAAAAGGGGAAAGAAAAAAGGAAAAGGAAAAAAGGGGGAGGGGGAAGAGGTAAGGAAAGCTCCACCTGTTCATAACTTCTTACGTACAAGGCCAGCCACGTGGATGACAGGTTGAGCGCTGGCTGCCCCCATCCCCGTGTGTCACAAGGACCCACTTGCACGCAGCCAAAAGGCAAAGAGGTAAAGAAGGGGAGGAGGAAACCAAACCTGACAGGGAAAGAAAGATAGGGAAAGAAAGATAATCCAATTATCACAAAGCAAATAACACATCCCACAGATCAACGTATCTTTTTTCTTTTTTTCTCTTTTTTCTTTTTTTCTTTTCTTCTCTTTTTCTTTTCTTCTTTTTTTCTTTACCTGCCCCCACCTCGGCAGATAGGACAGCTACGGTGAGGATGATGTGGATGTTCACAAGGACGCCCAAGGAGAGCTGTGCCAGCACAGCATTCTGCAGGACGGCTAGCACGAACCATCCCATCAAAACAGTCCTGACAGAGGACGTGTTGTCCACATGTCAAACACACGGCAGGACGTTCATCACAGTGCGGCATCATACAGTTCTGATAGCGTCCTTGGGCACAATAGGGACAACGTATATCTGGGTGATAGGGATGTGTACAATGAGRAAATGTTGGACACCCTTCAGGACAGACGGCGGCAGTCGCAATAGATTGATAATGGCTATGGCATAGATGATGCATTCCACA